TATATTTCGAAAATAGTCAAATTATTCAGATATAGATTTTAAATCATTGCTATTTAAATATTGCATATTTTGTGACAAATTTTGTTGTCACTAAATCACCGGATTATTAGAGACAATAAAATGATTGTCATTTTATTAGAGACAAAAACAAAGGTCACAATTAAATATAAAAATATGTGGCTAAAGCATACGACATTAACCACGAATTCTAATTTGTCACTATTGCAACAACCTATTTTTTATGACGAATGTTTTTTGTATCCAAATTTGTAACCAATTTTAAGACAAATAAAAGTTTGTTACAAATTGGATATTGTATTAGCGACAAAATAATGTGTCACTGATAACTTAGAATTCATCACTAGTGGTACTAAATAAAGAGTGCTAAATTACTTTTTGGTGGGAAACTTTCATGGACTAAACTTCGCTACAAAATTGTAAATTGTCACTAAAAGTATGTTGCTCATGCATTTACATACAATTTTTTTGTCACAAAAGGTGAATAATTAGTGACAAATTTTGTGTCGTGCCTAAGAATTTCGTAGGTAAATATCATATCTGTTGTAGTGAGAGTGGTCAAGCAAATGCATTAAGGGGGAGTGTTGGAATTAATGCATTCACACCTTGATGTTTAGTCTTCCAATATTGTCTCTTAGTATTTCAAGAAGTCTTTAAGGATTTTGCAATACATGTATCTAGTAAATTGTGATACATGTATCTAGTTATTTGTGCAAAACTTTTGATTTTACATTTTTATTAGTATAAATAGAGATGTAATTGATGATTCTAATCATCTCAAGTGGTCTTAAGTAGCCTATATAAAACTTGAGCATTCTCTAAAGAAAATATTCTCCTTTTATATTTCCTACGAAAATATCATAAAATAAAGGGAAAAGGCTCAAATATGTCACCAAACTTTGAGAAAAGGCTCATTTATGTTAGTCATTAAAACTTTGGCTCATCTATGCCATTTTCGTTTGAGAAAGGGTTCATCCATGCCATCATTTGTCAACTGAAAACAATTCTATGTTTTGCGAAACTATTTTTTACACGTGATCAATTATGATTCGGCCATGTCATTAATTAAATCATTTTTCAAAGAAAACAAGTCTTAAATATGTCATCAAACTTTGACAAATGGCTCATCGATCTATGTCTTCCCTTCCTAGGCCCCTCATCTTTTTTCCTTCATCTTATTCTTTTTGTTCCTCCTAGTTCTTTAAATTTTTCTCTTTTTTTCACTAATGAAATCTCTCTAAATTGAGCATATTGATGGAATTTTAAAAATCTAATTTGAAAGAAAAAGTTGTGGAAGAAAACGAAAGGGATGCTATCGGGTTAGAAAAAGACCTAGTGGATGAGGTTATGGGAAGAGGAAGAGTTGTGTGGCAGGAGATAGCGGATTTCAGACCCGTGTTGATGGAGGAGAGTCTTGAGGGTGAAGAAGAATAAGGAGGAGGGCGTTATGGAAGAGGAACTCACCTTGAGCTTCCAAGTTTAAATCTCAAAACATTATAATTTATTTTTTTGAAGTGCCCCGAAATAAAATTCCTGGACCCGTCATTGATGAAAATGATCATCATATTTTGAGTATAGTAGCTAAGTGCAATAAGACAAGTTTTTAGATAATTATAGTGACATTGTTAAGTAACATTATACTTGTGTACATTATTGTCAACAAGATACTTCCTTATAAGAAAAAAGAACAATTATTTTTGAGCCATAAAACTAGAAGTGCAATCTGAATATTAAATTGTATGTTGTCAAACAACATTTTTCTATCATGGCAAAGACCTCTTTCTACCACAGCATCTTTGATTAGCTTTAGAGATTGTACAAGATCGTCCAAAAATTGATGTGGATCAGGAATCACTCTTTCATCTATTGATAGAACAAAAGTCCTCTTGTTTACATAGCTTTGACAATTAATCATCAATGCCTGAAATTTACATTTGCGTGTAAGCTATTAAGATTTGTAAAATTAGGTCTTGGGCCTAATTCACACCCCAAAATCTAGCTGAGAATGGAAGCAAAAACTTGAAATTAGTAAGAGTAAAACACCTACATGAGCCATAAGAACTGGGTGCAATGTAAGCCAAAGGATGCCCACAGAAGCAAATTTCTTCTTGAGGACCAGGCAGACAAGAAAAGCACATTGTTGTATTGGTGATAGTTCTGTGCGATATCGAACTTGATGTCTGAAAAAAGAGTCACATCTTACAATGAAGATATCTCATGTGTAGGATTAAGAACTGAGAATGAAAATTAGTTACCTTAATCCCAAAAATCTTGAGTGCTAATTCTGAAATAGAAAATGTGTAGAAAGTTTCAAGTGAATTCTTCTTTCGACCAATAGTTGCCTTAGCTTCTCTGATATAATCTAATGGATCATCTCGTAATGCAACTTTTAAGGGGAAAAGAACAAAACCAATCCAATTCCCCCATTTTGCCTCAGTGTCATTCTCCATCATATCAGCAAAAGCCTATTTGCTAATTAATTAAACATGAAAGAAAGCCCCAAAAAAATGTTAATAACTTTAAGTATATAATCTAAGAAAACTTAAGTGCTGATTAAAATTTGAATGGATTCCATCACCTGAATTCCGACTGCCGGTCTTAGGTTCATAAGTATAGTTGATCTAAGTCTAATGTTCATCGGAAGATTATTTTTTTCTCTGTTGCTCCTGTCTTTCTTACCTCACCTGCAAAATTTTGCATTAAAGATTTCTTCCGTAAGATTTTCGATCAACTAAGTGTAAAGATATGGACCTAACACAACCTCAAAAGTTAGTTCATGAAGGGGATTTGTCTAAGTCCATAAAGGAGACCAATTTCTCATCCCTCTATCGATGTGAGACTTCTTAACACTCCCCGCACGCCCAGAACTCAACTGGAGCGTGAACACTTCTAAATGGGGGCCAACATCGGTGAACAACAACTTGGGATGGGTCTAGTTCTGATACCATGTAAAGATATGCACCTGGGCCTAACTCAACCCAAAACCTAGCTCATGAGGGTAGGTTTGTCCAAGTCCATATAAGGAGACCAATTTCCCATCCCTTTACCGATGTGGGACTTCTTAATACTAAGCTTAATAAGTCCAAATACATGAAACAGAAACTTACCATATCTTCTATTAAGATAGATAGACAAACCATCTTGTGTTACTCCCAAAGCGACATCCGTTACTGTCTGTGCAAGAAATGACAAAGTCCGACAACAACATCAAACAACACGCTATAAACATCTACATTTCAAAATTGAAGAGAAGGATGTTGCTACAATATAGAATTAATTTGTATGGGCTTAACATATTTTATGCATTTTTCACCAATTTCATATCGTCAAGACTTATTGTCCGGTAAACAAATCACCTAGGATTAGACTCATAACCAGGTCTACTCTTAATCGGTGTAGCTGTGTCCTTCAAGAACATAGTTGTAGCCATAAACATCAACACATCCACTTTTGTGTACCCAAACAATATCATAAAAGACCAAATTTTTGTAACATGTCGCCGCAATCCCTTATTGGAATGCTTTGAAGAATCAATAAGCCTCTTTTTACTTCCATGAATAGGTGGAACTTTATCTGGATCAGCAGTTTGGTGTGTACACTCCAAGAGAAGGGAAATAAGAGAAGTTCTCCACAAATTTGTATGGTGATTCCTGCAGGTTCTGTTCATTAATTTGTGGCACCACAATGTGCTGATCTAAGTCCACCTTTGTCCGCACCCATTTCATTTCTCCGCCTTTTCCCTCATCAATAACCTGCAGTGAATTAACCATGAGGGCTATGAAAGTAAAACAAGATCTTTGAATACGAGCGTTTTATGCTTTTTGACAATTCTCCCTTTTATTAGTTTACAATATTTATGTATTGAACTTACTGAGGAGAAGTACACTAGACTTGTTCTTAAGTACTTGTAGTTTCAATTTTTATTGGCTACCATCAAGTGTAATGTATGTTTTTATTTGATAGCAGCAGGTTATCAATTCATTGTCTTTTACATCTATTCATCTTGGTGATTTTAATCAGAAAATAGTGTTCTTTCTGTTTAAAGTTGTTTATTTGTGACTTGACACCGAGTTTAAGAAAGTAAAGAAGACTTTTAAATCTTACGGTCTTAAACTAAATACACATAGAATGTACCAAAGTGTTGTTTATTTTGTCGTCTAATTAAACATGTAATGAGAAAGTTAGAATTAAAGGGTTGTCAGTTGTCACGAAAAGAAAATTCATTTTTAACCTACTAAAATGGAAAGTAAGACAAACAAAGTGTTATACTGGTAACGGCAGGCTGGAGAAACAGGATGTTTAAGCAAAGTATTAGCCACATGCTCTCTGGGAGCTTGCTCAGTGCTGGCTCTTGTTTTGATGCCCAAAATAGCTAGAACGTGCACGTTGAAGTTGGGGTCATGAAATAGCCTCGATGACAGACTCAATGGCTCTTCGATCTTCAGATGCGTCAATGGCTTTATCCTTAGTTTCAATTGGTTTCAGACTCGGTTTTCTCCATCTAATTATGGACTCCATTGTTATAATATAATAGTGATCTTCTGGAAATGAGTTTTTATTTCTTCGTATATATACGTAACAGAGAACCAAAGTAGTGGCGTTTAATTTTGTCTTGCATACATGTTATATGGCCAGTATTGGGATATAGTAGGTATATAGATGAAGGTTGATGGTTGTATAATTATTGTTATTTGCCCATACCTAACGAGTTTTTTTGTCTTGTCACGAACAATGTTTCCATCTATCTCAATTTACTTGGTGTCATTCTATTTTGAGACTCAAACGACATATGTCCCTAAAGCCTATAGCGACATTGAATCCAATGACAATTAACTAATGCTGGTAAAAAAATTAGCACTCTTTGTTAATGTGTATATTTATCGCGACTAAAATTTGTTTTTTGTTGTAGTGACATATGAAACATATTTTAATGAAAGCCATTAGAAGTTATGTATTGAGTTCTATCAACGATAAAAAGGAAATATAAAATAAAGTAATGGGGGATTAGACTAAAACCACTTCAAAAATTCAAGATGGAAGAGGTATACATAACATTTGTTCTCTATGTTGGTGATGAAAAGATGTAAATCTATAGCATATTTAAAGGATCAATGTTCTAGCAAACATTTGTTAAACCTGAGAACTTGTTCAACATTCAAGAAGTTGAATCTTGATGGTTTTTAACCTCGCGGCAACATCTTTCATGTCAATCCTTCCTTTAGGAGATTCAACACAACAATTTATTGCTATTTTCATGATGGATACCACACAATCAATTTTTTTCACTGAGTGATTATCTTGTGGTGTTATTAAGTTGGGATCGATAACTTCCATTACTGCATGTGGGAGTGAATTGCTCACCCATTGCTTTAAGCTAAGATCTCCATCAAACATCTCATTACTAGGCTTTGTCCTTGTAAATGTTTCCATCAACATTATCCCATAACTATAAACATCGCATTTGGTTGACACCATTCCTTCCAATCCATACTCTACAATGAGAATTTTATATTCAACATTTCTTGGCAGAAAAAGGAAAAAGAAAATATTCAAAAAAAAAAACAATTAATTAAGATAACTTACCTGGTGCGATATAACCCAATGTTGCTAAAGTTTTAGTGTATAAAGCACTCTCATCTTCAGAAATCATTTTTGAAATGCCAAAGTCACTTAGGTGTGCAAGCATGTCCTCGTCCAACAAGATGTTACTAGGCTTCAAATCACAGTGTATCACGGGCAATGAGCAGCCATGGTGGAGATATTCTAATGCACATGCTACATCAATCATTATACTCAGCCTATGCTTGATGTCTAAGAAGTAGTTGTGTGAATACAACCACTTATCGAGGCTCCCATTGGACATGTATTCGAGTACCAACGCCTTAAAATCAAGGTTGGAACAACTAGTGATGACTTTGGTGAGATCCCTATGGCGAAGATTGCGCAAAACTTCACATTCTGTATCGAAACTCCTAAATGCCGCTTGCAATTGTAGATTGAACACTTTAGCTGCAATGAAAGTCCCATCTCTTAGGATGCCTTTGTAAACAGAGCCGAAACTCCCTGAACCAATCAAATTGCTCTCGTTGAGTGAATCAGTTGCTTGGAGCAATTCATAGTATGAAATTCTTCCTCTTGTTGAGACAAAAGAGGACGGATCAACTCCTAGTTGAGGATCAGTTGATTTTCCTCTTATATACTTTATCCATACAAACGCAAAGGCGATGGACACTAATACAAGTGCAATTCCAACCGGTAGAATCAAAACAAGTACTTTTTTTCTCTTGGATCTATGCTTTGAAGTTCCACTATGGCATGGGGGGACACGAAATCTTGAAGAACCACACAATGCTTCATTGGATATGAAAGACTGACTGGATAGGTTCTTGAAAGGACCGCTCGAGGGGATTTCACCAACCAAATTGTTGAATGAAACGTTGAAATACTTGAGATTTAGAAGCTTCTCCAAAGACTTGGGAATTAATCCCGAGACATTGTTATGAGAAAGGTCTAGATATTCCAAAGCTGACATGCTGCTCATTGAGCTAGGAATTGAACCTTGCAATTTGTTGTCTCTCAATGAAAGGTGTATCAGATTTTGCAAGCTACCAATTTCTTCAGGTATGCCATTCGAGAGTTTATTCATCGAAAGATCCATCTGTATCATGGCCTTTAGACTTCCGATTTCTCGAGGTAAAGAGCCAGTCAAGTTGTTCGAGGATAAATCAAGGTTTAGGAGATTTTTGAGGTTTCCTAAATTAGCTGGAATGTTTGAATGCAACTTGTTGGTACCTAAAAATATCTCCCGAAGGGAAGTTAAGTTCCCGAAACAATTAGGAAGAGATCCTGAAAGTTGATTTTGATCCAAATGTATATACCCCAGGTTCTGCAATTTACATAGATTGTCTCCGATAAATCCAGAAAGTTTATTGCCACTCAACTTAAGACTCTGAAGGAGTCTCAAGTTGCTAATTGTTGTGGGAATTGATCCAACCAAACCATTTCCAGAGAGATCGAGGTCTATTAAGCTACTTAAGTTCCCAATTCCTTTCGGAATTTCCCCTTTAAGTCCACATTCAACAACCATTAACTTTACAAGAGAGACATTTCCAACTGAAACTGGAAGCACAACATTCAACGGGTTCAACGATACATCAAGAAATTGTAATTCTCTACAATTTGATAAGGAAGAAAAGAAGCTCGACCTAGTGTCACTCATTAAATTGTTCCCCCCCAAGCCTAGGTACTTTAGATGAGTCATATATCCGAAAGAGTTTGGGATCAAACCGGTTAGTTTGTTATAAGAAAGGTCAAGATAAATGAGTTTGGAACAATTGAAGAGAGAATGAGGTATAGTTCCAAAAAGATTTAAACTAGATAGATAAAGACCTTCAATGTTGGGTAACATAGAACCTATGCTCAATGGGAGGACGCTTCCTGTCAGATTATTTCGCACAAGTTCGATCACTCTCATCCCTGACATGTTGAAGAGTTCCGTTGGAAGTGCACCGGTAAACTTGTTGAGACCCAAGTAAATTTCAACCAATTCAACGAGATTGCTTACGTCTGGTATTTTACCTGCAAATGTATGATTGTTAAAATAGTAAAGGTACAACTAGTAATGATACTTTAGTTTCCATCTGCCTTAATTTATACGACTTACTTTCTTTTTAGTCCGTCAAAAAAGAATAATATATTTCTATATGTAGTAACAATTTAACTTTAAAAATTATTTGTACCCATACAAATATCCACAAGTTTCAAAAGACATTCTTTCTTAAATTTTGTATTAAGTCAAACTACATCACATAAATTGGGATGAAAGGAGTACCTTTTTTTACTATATATGTACATACCTGTTAGCTTGTTTTCAGTAAGACGTAGACTCTGCAATTTGGTCAAGTTGCCAACCTCCCCTGGCAAGGATCCAATGAGGTGGTTCCTTTCCAAATACAACGTCTCCAGCGAGGAGATATTGAATATGGAGATTGGGATATGACCCGTAATCTGGTTGCTATCTAGTCCTAATTCCACCAAATTATCAAGAATCCCGATTTCCTGTGGTATTGTCCCTGCCAATTCTTTTACGTTAGTTGTTTGACCACTTCCGTGACTAATGTTCAAGTTGCTTGAATTTATGTTTTCAATAACCCAATGACTACTTACATACCTGTTAGCATATTGTAACCAAGATATAGAATCCGCAATTTGTTCAAGTTGCCTATCTCCCTCGGTAAGGATCCCATGAGATTGTTCATTTCCAATGACATCGTTTGCAACGAGGAGATATTGAATATGGAGATTGGGATGCTCCCAGTTAGATGGTTTCTCTCTAGCCCCAAAACCTCCAAATTATCAAGAATCCCAATATCTTGTGGAATTGTCCCTGTCAAAACAATAACATACATATAAATTTATGTGTGATGGTTTCTTTTCGGAAATAGTTAGTTAGAAGAAAATCTAGCACTCAACAACAAACCTTCAAATTGGTTCTGTCCGAGATACAAAATACGTAGGTCACTTAAATGTCCAATTTCACTATGTATAGGTCCATCAAACTTGTTCACTGATAAAGACAATAGTTGAAGTTTCAAACAGTTTGGCAAGCTTAGAGGCATATGACCACGTAGCTCGTTGAAACTTAGATAAAGCTCTTCCAACATTGATTGTCGATCACACATATCAGGAGGAAGATTTCCTGATAAAGTGTTATCTGTCAATGCAATGACCTTTATTCCAGAAATGTTGAAGATCGAGAATGGTATAGATCCTGTAAGTCGATTAGCTTCTATATTTAATTCCTTTAAGTTTTGAAGTTTGCCAATCTTTTCTGGTATCTGACCACCTAAAGAATTGAATCTCAAATTTAAAGTTTGAAGCCCGGAAATATTAGATAATAGAGAGGGGATGAAACCATTGAAACTATTATTCCTAAGATTCAGAACTTGAAGTTTGTGTAAGTTCCCAAACCATGAAGGAACCTCCCCGCTAAGCATATTAACACCCAAATTAAGAAACCTTAATCGACGTAGATGTGCTATTTCTTGAGGCAAATTGCCATACAAGTTGTTGTGACTCAAGTCGAGGGAAACAAGAAATGTGAGATTCCCGATATGAGAAGGAATTTTTCCGATTAATGCCATATTGGAAATATTGAGTGATCTCACTCTCTGGTGGCGAGAACCACAAGTGACTCCGACCCAATGGCAAACAGAAGTAGTTGGAGACCAACTTTCATCCAACAAGTGAAAAGGGTCCAAAATGATTTGAGATTTTAAGGAAAGGAGAGCAGATTGATCGGTAGAAAAGTTTGTTGGGTTCATGGCTGAAGTAGCCATGACATAGTGAAGCAACAAGAGTGTCAAGAGGAAAGAGCAATTGGCTTTTTTCATAATTGCATAAATTACTAGGAACATGGAATAACTAGTAACAATGTGGTTTTGAGACTTTAAATAGCAATAAGATTTCCTTTTTGGTCTTCATAATTTCTTAAAGAGAAAAGTATTAAAAACACTTCTAAACTCGGCGTAAATTATTAGTTTCATCCTCGAACTATTGACAGCCTTAAAATTACTTATTTACTTGATTAACTAAACTTAAATATACACGATCTTGCAACATGAGTGAAATACACCATTAAATTCTCATCAAGTTAAGAGTGTTTTCAAAACTTCTCTCCGCTTTTTATTAAGAGTCTCATGCTCCTACAAGAGTTTGAGGCATCTTACTATGTCATGTGGCAGATTGGGGGGTGTATCTAAGTTTAGTTAGTCAAGTACATAGATGTTTTTAAGGCTGTCAATAGTTCGGGGATGAAGCTAATAATTTGTGTCAAGTTCAGGGATATTTTCAATACTTCTCTCTTTGTTCCATTTTATATGACTGACTTTTCTTTTTAATCAGACAAAACAAGAAGACACATTTCTAACTTAGTAACAATTTAACTTTACAATATTCAGTTTACCCTTAATAAAATTAATTACATCCACACAAACATCTATAACATATTTTAGACCACCAGTTTTGAAAGTCTTTCTATCTTTTTAAGTTCTGTGTCAAGTTAAACTATTTCACATAAATTGGGACGGAGAGTATTTTTTAGGAGACTTTTCTTTCAAATAGTGCAAAAACTTTTCTTAATTTGTTTTGTCATCTCAACTTGTCTTCCTCATGTTCAGACTTAATTAATTCCACTACCTTGTAATTAAGTTATGTAGACTATTGACATAAGATGGACGAGCTAGGTTATATATCACACAATAATTTGTAAAAGTCAATTTTGTGCATTTGTATGACAATGCCCCTTCATGAAAAGGAAAAAAATGATATTCACATATAGTTCAAGTGGAAGACCAAGAAAACAAATACAAGTACTACTCCCACTATTTCATATTAATTAAGTTTCTGAGACTTTATTCATTATTCAAAATAATTGAACTGTTCAAAGTTTAAGATAGATGTTTAAATTTTTTTCTTTCATATTTGTCCTTTTATTTATTGTAGTTTTATATTTTCTAGAAAATAAATTACATTAATTACAAAGTTATATTTATGATTTCACATAGAATAATAGTAGAAATTACGGTTTAAATTATGTCCTTAAATTACATTACTTACAAAGTTATATTTATGATTTCACATAGGATAATAGTAGAAATTACGGTTTAAATTATGTCCTTAAATGTTTATCTTTACAAATTCAGTTAATATGGAATAGAAGGAATAGTATATATATTATTACTTGTATAAATATATTGTCCATATAAATATGAAATACTATCAGAAAATTGTTTCTATACTCTTTTTACTTTCCTACAATCAGTTGGATTCACTCAGTTCAATGTCAAGTGCTTTTGCGTATGTATTTGTGCATATAGAAACTTTAAAAATCATTAGAAGATGAAAGATTAATTCAATTTCTTATGGGTCTAAATGATTCTGAATGTATTTGTGAAATGAGTACTATATCCAATTTTGATCTTATTATACATGAGGATCATACAAAGCTCCCACATATAATTACTATAAATATTTTCATCTGGACAATATTTGTATATTTTATGAAATCAATGAGTAATTTTACACTTAATTTCAAATTTACCCTTATCATTAATTATAGTAATTTCCCTATTACATTTTTCAAGACATTGTATACAAAGTTAATAGTGGACAAATATTATTAGACAGAGATCATACTCCCTCTGTCCCTAATTACTTGTCCACTTTTAAATTGACACACTTATTAAGAAAATAATTATTGACATATTAAGTTTACCATTTTACCCCTATTAATTATGAAGTGGTTGAATTAAAACCTTAAGATTTTCAAAAAGTTATACATTTTTCAAAGTAATTAGTTGAGGGTTTAATAGGTAAAAATATTTTGTCCTTTCTTGATTTGTGAAAATGTACAAGTAATTAGAGACAACTAAAAAAAAAGTGGACAAGTAATTAGGGACAACTAAAAAAGGAAAAGTGGACAAGTAATTAGGGACAGAGGGAGTATTTGGATATGTAATTTCTTTACTTATGATTTTAAATATCAAATTCTCAAAAAAAACATGATTTGAAATTTCAAATTCTTTTAAATGTAAAACTTGATCCATAAGTTTATGTTATCTAAATAATACAAAAAAAAAAAAGACTCTTCATATTAAATTTTACAACAAAAAAAGACTCATGTTGAGGATGATGAGTTTACTTGACCATTTGAAAAGATGATATTAGTAACTCGTTACTATTGTTGTTGACTAGTAATTTTTTATAAAATTATATGTAATTAAAGTTTATAGCCATAATTATATATTTATAAAAGAAACATAAAATTATATGATTCATTAATGCGACATTTTAGAATGTTATGATATTTAATGGGATAAGGGTCTGAAAATATCTCAACTTTGGTCGGATTTGTTGTTGCGATACCATATTTTTTTACCCCCTGAACTATTTAATAGTGTATTTTAAAGGTATATATGTGCCCATGTGGACACATTACTATTTATAATTTTGCATTATTTTTTATGTCCACGTGGACAAATATATATGTTTAAAATACGGTATTAAATAGTCTAGGGAGATAATAGGTCCTCATGAAAGTTTAGTATCGCAACAGCAAATCCGACCAAAGTTAGGATATTTTTCAGACCCTTATCTCATATTTAATTTATGAATTATAATTGCTTATTTGATAAGATTATATAAGTTTTTAACAATTTTTACAACTTATAAAGTTTTCATTTTTATAAGAAAAATTACAACTTAAAAATTTGAATTAATTTATAAAAAAATTCAATTTTATATCAATTTATTTTTACATCATAATTTCATATAGCCGGTCCAATCAACTACTTTACTAATACTTCGGAATACATGGAAATTGACTTAATGAAGGGCCAAAGTCTTTGTGGGGTCTGAGAAAATACTAATGACATATCATGGTTGACTTGGTTGGAGTAATTTTTAATTATTTGAAAATTAATACTACTAGACTTTGACTGTTTCCAAGTCGTGCTTTTGGTTTTGGAAATTACTCCTTGTCTTTATATTTAATTGTCGTATTTCACATCTATTAAAAAATATTGACATGGTTATTTTTATAACATTATTTCTATTCATTGATTTTAAAATAAGATTTTAAAAAATAATTTGAAATAAATAATTAATACTAAGAATAAAAATATGAAAAGAATTTTATTTTATTTTTGATATATCAAAAGTAACAAGTAGAAATGAAATTTTATTTTTAAAATAGAAAAAAAGTAAAAAGGAACAAACGGAGTATATTCTAAATATTAATAAAAGGAATGTGGTAAAATATATACATGTCAACAAATACTGTAAGAGCAATTTTTTTTTTCTATTTACAAGAATAATAAATTGACATTTGAAATTCTTCAGTAGATTCTTTTCAATATATTGAGTGTTATAAATATATTTATATTATTGTGTATGTCTAGATTTTTTTTATTTCTTTTTATAAGTAATTTTATTACCAAGTAAGAAATTAAAGGTCAAGATTCAACGAAACAAGCAGGCCTAGACATATCTAACTCCTGAGAATCTAAGCATCTATTTTCCACTACCAGTATAGACTATGGGTTGCATCTAAACATTTTTATATACAACCTATTTTGTGGTCTCACATGAGCCCTGAAGTAGACCTCCTGGGCAATATGTTTCAGTGTCTTCAATTTTTCTGCTCTTCCGCTGAAATATTCGTTGATTCCTCTCCTTCCAGATTAAATAAAGTACTACAACTAGTCTTATCTCTTTGTCATGACCCAGGCCGTCGTGATTGGCACCCACACTAACACTTCGGTGGGAGAACCACTACTACAACCCAAACTAACCAACCAAAATAAAACTAAGGCAATTAAGTTACGGAAGCAAGTTAATTAACTAAACAAATGCGGAATAAACAACCTAGAACCTGAAAGTCAATGTACCAAAACATCTAAACAAAATATTCAAGTCTAAACAAGAAGGGATACATCCCCAACTAATCAACTAATCAACTAACTAGAACAAATATCTAAGTCTGGAAATGATGGACATAGACGAAAGAGAATTTCATGGCAGCCCGAAAGAATTGTCTCACCCTTGAATTCGATCTGACGATCTCTAATCTTCTAAGCGAGGTCTATCAATAGTCGCGTAAAGATGCCCTGTACTCAACAAAAATAAGAGCAAGTGCAAAATCAGTACACAACCATAGTGTACTGGTAGGATCACACGGCTATCCCCACTAGTGCAACATAAACAAGTCAAACAACATTATAATCACATGCATACATATCAACATATAGAATATCATCAACATTTACGAACAACAAACAACTTCACATTTTATGTCAAATCATTGGTCCTTTCATGGAACCCAAACCCAAATAGTTAGCATGCCGGAACGTGGCAACCGATCCCATATTTAATACGAACGTGGCAACCGATCACATTTTTTTGCCGGAATGTGGCAACCGGTCCAAGTTAGTTAAGCCGGAACATGACAATCCGATCCCATTCATACACCACAATCACAAACACAAGTACATCATCAAGATCATACATTTAAGTCATGATTTCATGGCAATGATATTCATCTATCTCAATTACAACAAGTGTGATCAACATTGCAACATTCATACATACACAAGTATCATAATGAAGCAAGAACATGAATACATCACACAAACATAGAATCACAACCATCACCTACCTCGAAACAAGCTTGAAACGCTAAGAAACTTGATCCTTCCCTTTTCGGATTCGTTCCGCTTGTTCTTGGTCTACAACAAACACAATAACACGGGAATCAACAAACAATCGCTAATTACCCAAA